TAGAGGAGGACATAGAGCAGATGGATTCTTTGTCAACTCTAATTGCAGATAACACAGCAATAACTCAAGTTCCCATTTCTTTGGTGAGATCAAAAAGCATTGGATATATATCTGTTTGTGGTTATCAAGGACTTGCACGTCATGTGTTTCCTTCTCTCATTTGGTCAAGGATGTCCCCAACAAATAATCCCCTTTCTCTTATTCCAACGTATGCTAGCATGCCATCTTCAATTTCCTCATATATAAAGAATTGCAGTATCCCTGGTTCTTCATCAATTTATGACAACCTTCCAAAGCCACAAAGCCTTTTATTGGAAGGCGCATCGGAGAATGGCGTTGATGTAAATAGGGATGCTGCAAAAATCTTGGATTACTTGTATGCCACAAGTAGTAGAGACACGGTAACAACACCAAATACTTCAAAAATCTTGGAGATTGAATCCTCTATGTTGGCTGATCATCATAGTCAAGTTGGTATCTCAAGGCCAAACAAATGTTTGAGACATCTTCTAATTCAAATCGGAAACAATGACCAAGTCACTAGTGCTCTTTCAGAGTGTATTTTACAGGTCTTCTTCATCTCTATGTATAATTCCTCTTTTTTTTTAAAAAAAAAAAAAAACTAGTCCTTGCCTATTATTGTAATTGTTTTATTAAAATTGAAATGACCGTTCATCTTTGAATTAGAGCTAATGCTTGTGTTATTAAACAGGGATTGACTCTTAGAGATTATGGTGATGATTGTGTCCTCCCAGGTGACAAGTATCCCTATTGGCGATGCTTCAAGGGTGAACGAGCTTCTGTAAAATTTAAAGTGCCTGCAGTTAGTTGTGAGTTAAAAGGAATTACTCTTTGCTGTGAATATTACCCCCCAGGTGATTTGGTCAGCATGGAGTTTGACTCTTTTATTAGCATGTTGATCATAAATTATACAAAGATGACCACTATGTACTACAGGAGAGACACAACAACTTCCTTCGGGGAAGCAAAATGGAAGGAAATAATATCAAACCTGGACTCTGATGATCAAGTAGAGATCACTGCAGTTTTTGGTAATGGATTCACTGTGAAAAGAACAGCAGTGTACTTGAAATATCACGAGTCCTTTGATGAACAGATGGAGGATCCACCATCATCAAGTATGGTTAGCTCTCTAAAACTGTTGTTTTGCACCAGCTTTAAAAGTTTGGATTGTATTTTCAGTTTCAGGAAAAATGAATCTATTATATTATTGTTAATTGTAATTACCTTATTCTTTAGGTGGGTTTAAGCCAGTTTAACATTTACTTTTCTCACGATTCATGATGTTTAGTTTTTCACTTAATTTTTCTCTGTTTTTGTAGGCAGAGAATTGCACAGGGATGACAAAAACCATGATTTCAAGCTCTCAGAGCCTAAGCGTCAAAAAATAGAATGGGGGGGGGGGGGGTAGCTCGAGTTCGGTGAATGGTACGTGACAGGATTGCTTCCATTCCATTCATTAAACAAAGGATTCCTCTCTTGTAATTCATGCTTGGGCTTTCTTCATGTATAGTTTGTAAGTAGAGTTCTAATATTCTCCGAATTCAAATCATCATCTGATCATATGAATAAAAGCTCGTTTGGTTCATCTTCTATGCCCTATGGAAGTGGTAATTCAGATCCTCTTACTGGCGTATGTATATGGTTTGCCTTTCTCTGTTTTTCTTGGTAAAGAGAATTACCATAATAAGCTTGTTGCTGATTTTTGTGAAATCAGCATTCATAGGGGACCTATGAATGATATATTGATTGCAGAAACATCCTTATGGACAACGTTTCAAAAATAATGGAGCTTCCCCAAAGTATTTTATTCTGCACCAGTTCCAAGAGTTATATTTGACTGGGAAGAAGAGTTCATTATTGTTAATTTTAAATTAAGGGTTAAGAACCCTTTTTTTTTTGTCAGTGAGACAAGGGGGGAAAAAAGGTTGAGTTATTCAAAACATAATGTTAATTATTTCACATCTAAATTTCCAAAACTTTCATTAAGTCACTTAATAGAGATATAAGGTGAATTATCATGGAAATTAATGTAATAGCACGATTCCGTAACTTCATCTCGTGAAGCTTGTTTCAGATCTTCAAATGAGCTTGCAACTTCACGCTAATTTATTGGTAACTATCTTACTATAATAGTAGTGATATTTAGTTACTAGTTGGTTATGAGAACCAGTTGATGCTGAAGTTTTTGCGAGAAATAGAATGTGCTTGGTCCGATTTTAAATTTTCCACTACCTTAGTTTGATAAATTATGAAAAAGATGTTGCAATTAAAAGGCTTCCTTGCAAATGCTTGAAGAAGAGATCTTGTGTTATTTGTTGTTCCCTGATGCAAGAAGACATGCCAACGATAAAGGATCACATTTGCGCTTAACACAATAATCACGATCAAGGAGTATCATATTACTACAACTTACTTACCTACTGTTACAAATACTAGATCTCTATCATCACAAATGGTCCAACAACAAAATCAAGAATCTCAATTCTTCACTTCAGAACATAAATTCATCATGCGAGAATTCATTCGAGACTAGGAAAGTAGCAAGAATAAAGGCTTACTGAAGGTTGTTCATTCTTCCTCCAAAATCACACCTCCTAGAAACCAGACTGCACTTTTCTAGAAGAATTCCCCTATGTTGGGCCAAAAACCAGAATGCTCATTAAATTCACAGTGATAAAATGCAGAAAAAACAACATGGAAAATAGTAAATTTACCAAGCTATTGTCTGCACACTCCAGCTCTAAAGATTCTTCATACCTAAAATTGTCAAACATCATCAAATCAATTTCTTTTTTCAGGTTCAAATGAAATTTTACAAGTATAGCAACTTCTTCACATACCTTAATTAAAAAGTGACAAAAGTCTAGATATTCAAATGCAGCAATTGCCCTCTCTCTTTTCCATGGGCATTCTGCAAAGTGAATATAAGGGGAAAATGGGACGATCTAGTTTAATTTAGGTGCGTGGACAAGGATTTGAGTTGATGGGCCAGGGATTTGGATCAATGGGGCAAGGCTATGGGTCACTTAAACAAGGTCTAATGACTTCAACACCTATTTCTCGACAAGTAGGCGGCATTATAATCATCATAAACAATATAATACAGATTGATTATTGCACTTCCCAAAAGAATGAGTGAGAAGGAAAGTTATGATACCAGGGATGGAGGTGGATTAGCCTACACTGACAGAAATGGAGGATATGTCTTTTTATTTCAACCTGTCATCAATGATTAAGTGAAGCATTGTGACATTATCCTACAAATAAAGAAACATCACACATACCTTGATTAAATAGAAGTGAATTCTATATTATGATAACCCTAGTTGGAACAATTACAAACATTCTTATACATTATTCAGTGATGCTCAGCCCTGATACTTTATTAGTTTCGCTGCCATATACCAAATAGATTGCATTCTTCTTTACGATATATTTGTGTAAAAAATACACCATAACATCCATTTCATTTCCAGGCTCCAAATTAGTTATTATATTCTGCCAACTTTTATCAGCAGAAGTTGTTCTAGTATCCCGCTTATAGAAATCCATAGTAGCCTTAGTAAAATTGTTTATCATGATGCCAATAGGATTTAAAGACGTTGTGCAATCTTGAGGAGATGGATTAGATAATGTACAGGATCATTCCATTTAAGCAACAACCAGCAACTTGAGGAACTTTTAAATGATGCTGAGGATCCTTCATTTTCAAAAATTAGCCAATCAGGATTATTGTCTCTGGAAATAGAATATGTAAGTCCTCTATTAGTCCATACCTGTCCCATGATAACAGGAAAAGAAGCACCCCATCTACTGAAGATTAAAAGAAATTCAATAGTCACTTCTGTTGAAATCTCTGAACCTTTATATCATGCTCATGCTAACTAAAAATACCTCAGTTTAAGTATATTTTTCTAGCACTTGCTACGTATGCACCGCGCACCCCCAACTTGTAGCAATATGATGATATGAATGAAAGAGAAACTCTAAGGGATGTATGGCGATGGTTTCTTCATGGAATCTACGCTTCTTGATCTCACTAATAGACGCAGCACTTCTGCTATAGTAGTTTTATTTGCCAATAGAGTTGCCATAGATTCCATGTGCTAAAAACTTCTTCCAATTTGTCAATCTTTGAACAAGAAAAAAGAATTGAGGGTTTTCAATGATTTCACATTATATAAACTTCTTGGCAAATCAATGAGACCTTTGCAGTTCTTCAAATTCAACAAAATAAGGCATTTTAGATCTCCAATGGATTGATGAATGGAAGACAATCGTGGATAATCCTTGAGTATGAGGCTTTCAAGATTTGGAAAATTTGAAAAGCCAGATGTTTGCCCCAAGTAATAGGAATGACTTAAATTAAGAATTTTTAACCCCTCCAAAAACTGGAAGAAGGAAATGTTATTAGATAAAATTTAAATACAACAGGAAAATGAAATAAGTTGCAAGTTGCAACCGAAACCATTATTATCAATAACTTTGAATTCTGAACGAACATTGGAAAATACCTGGCACTTCTTTCACATATGGGTGAGATGACTGTATTTTAAGTCAATAGCAATAACATTTTCTAAATGAAAATTCTCAGGCATGCAACTCAAAGGAAATTCATGCCAGCTGAGCCATCAAAAGAACCACAAAAAAAAAAAAACAATAAAAATGTCAAAGGAAAAGCTGAAGCAATCTAAGTCTCATCATCATCTTAAATGCAAGTATATCAAAGGACAACGTTTTGGTGTTTGACAAATTCAAAGCCAGTCCCTTAATAGACCTTTTCCCTATGGTACAAGATTAGGAAATAATGAAAAGACAACACAGCTCATTAGATTATTGCATTTGAGCAATATGATAATGGACTGAAATAAATATTTGACAACTATAATGAATGCATAATGCATATTGAACAAACAAAATTTAATGTTCTAATAGGAAACAATAAATTATTGAGGAGGTTCTTACCATATGATTTGTTAACACTTCAACCACATCTTTATGAAACCACAATCTGGTATGATTCTCAGGCTCATTTGGTGACATTTCACGAATGATCTCTTGTCCCATGTCGCGTAGTAAACCATACATATCAAGCTTATGACTCCAATTTCTAAATGCAATCCACAACCATCCAATATTTGTGTGGTATAGTTTCTATCCCTTCCAATAAAAAAACAACATATATCCAAGAATATTTCTTCCTCCTCATCATTACTCAAACCATCATAGCTTATTTTTAGCTTTTTATGTATTTGATCATCTAGAAGTGCTTTAAGTCCATCTAAAACACTTGCCCAAGCTTTTATTGGCTTATCAAACAAATAAGAATCGAGGATTTCAAGGGCTAGTGGTAGACCTTCGGAGTAAGCAATAACCCTCCTTGAGAGTTCATTGAAATCTTCTATTGGGTTTGCTTGCTTAGATGTATGATAACTAAAAAGCTTAAGAGATTCATTATCATTCATTTCTTTCATACTATATACAATATCAACTTGAAGGATCTTAAGCAGATGCTCATCTCTAGTAGTGATGATTATTCTACCACCTGGGCCAAACCATTCACGACTTCCACACAAAACATTGAGTTGGGCCACGTTATTGATATCATGTAGGACAATAAGTGCCTTTTTATGACAAAGCCTCTTCTTTATTACAGCTTTTCCCAATTCAAGACTTTGCAGTGCAATCTTTTTTGTTTGTAAAATGTCAGAAAGAAGTTTTTCTTGCAAAAGAACCTGGCCATTTTCTTCTTCCCGAGCTTTTCTAATGTTTGTGAGGAAACTTTTTGCCTCAAAGCTTTGAACAATTTCATTATAAATAGCTTTGGCGATGGTTGTTTTACCAATTCCGCCCATGCCAAAAATCCGTACTATCATAATCACATTTGATTCATCGCCTAACAACTGGATGATTTCTTGCATGTGAGAGTTTACTCCCACAAGATGATGAGCAACAAATAAATGTGTTATCATATAACTTCATGGTGACGGTTTCAATAACATGGTCAATCAACTCAGCATCAGTTCTAACCACAAGAATACATAAGTTAAGTAAATAGAAGATAAACTTAAAATGGATCAATATATATGAATACCTGATTTTTAATTTCAGTTTAATTTTAAATGTTCTCCAACCATGTAGATAAATTATCCAATGTAAGAAAGTTAAATAATGTTGATCTTGCTGTAATTGTCTCAGTTCATTTCGCTTTATATTTTACTCTCGAAAAGAAATTAGCTTACAACAGACCCTATACTGCATAAAAAAGATTAGATCACACATTAACTGTTAAAACAATTAGTTCATAGACAACGAAATATCCACGTCCATGGGTATCAAGATGACACGCTTGAGCAAGCAAGAAAAATGTAATTGTAGACTAATGAATGTTTCTTGAAGAGAACCAAATTGTATAGAAATTTTATATTTTTCATCAAGAAATACTGGCTTGAATTTTGAGTTAAGTGTCCACTGAATAAATCAAAGCACTTGTAAAAGGATATCACTTTTTGGATTATCTAGGCAAGTATAAATAAAAAAGGAAAGCTTTCAAGGAGTGAAAGAGTACAAGAATAATGTATTTAACTATGATGACCGGACCAACCAGACAAATTGGCAGCTTCATTAAGCGCTCTTGTCCAATTAAGTGACTTGTCTCTGCTAGCTGAAGTTTTCCTCACAAGTCCTTCCAATGCTTTTCCAAAAGAGCAAATTTGCTTACATACGTATCATAGCTGGACACCGTAGAATATAAGCAAGACCTCTTGACCAGTAGTTCTGTGACACTTCATGATTTTCTCCAATTCTTGCAAGCACCATCTAGAGCCAGCATAATTGATTGAAAAAATAATGATTGACATTCTGGAATTTTCAATTGCTTGTCTTAGCGTGGATGAGATATTTTCTCCCCTTCTAATCCCATTATCCATGAAAGTTTCAATGCCTGCATTTTTTAATGTGATGTGAAGATGACTCGTAAAAGATTTGCATGTATCTTCACCCCTAAAACTCAAGAACACATCGTAGACATATTTGGATTTTGACTTCTTAGGATTGATGCTTTTTCCAATCTCTTGCAGCAACTCATGCATCCCCAATTTATTATTCATGTCAACTTTTACAAGGCTATGCTCAATGAGCATTCTTATTCCATTTTCTGTAGGAATTTTGAAGCCATTTAATTTGTGCATGACATCCTGTTTTTCCACACCCACATAAAAGCAAGCGATATTAAAGAACAAGTAATCTTTCACTGAACCATCCAGATACTCGCAGCTTATTTTGAGCTTCTCCTGCATTTGACCTGTGGGAATGCCTTTCAATTTCGTCGATACACTTCTTAACTCTGGTTTTGTCTTATTGAACAAAAGAGAGCCAAGCACTTCAAGAACCAGCGACAATCCTTCACAATAAGTAACTATACTTTTTGCAAGCTTAACAAAATCATCTCTATGACTCAAATGCTTAAAAGCGTTCCAGCTGAAAAGCTCAAGAGATTTACTGTTGTCAATTCTTTTCATTTCAAAGAAATATTTCTCATTGAGTTCATCGAGTATGTGCTTATTTCTTGTTGTAATGAGTATCATACTCCCACAACCAAACCATTCACTGTTTCCGCAAAATGCCGTCAGTTGGTCAGTTTTGCTTATATCATCGAGTACTATAAGCGCCCTTTTATTGTGTAGTGCTATTTTCATTTGACTAACTCCCCTTTCAATATCAACTATCTTCTCATGTTTTGCATGTGAAACATCTGAAAGAAGCTGTTCTTGCAAACAAAAAAGACCATTAGCTTTCCCTTGTACACTGTATATTTTCAAGGAAACACCTACTCTCAAAACTGCCCCCAATTGTATCATAAATAGTTCTAGCAAGATTTGTTTTACCAATTCCCCATATGCCTACTATGATCACTTTGTTTTCTAAAGGAACAATATCTTTTGAATAGTAGCTGGTCAGATGAAGCACTTCATTCACACAAAGTTGTATACCCGGTAGACCTTGCGGGATATCTAACTAGGTCTTGTCTAATTCCTTCTTAATGTGTTGGATGATTTTTCTTATCATGTTGATGTCACTGCTCAACAAAATAATTTTAAATACATGTCAAAATCATGTTTCCTGTTAATAAATGTTTTCTTTGGATAGCTATGGGAGTAGAAAAAGAAGGAAATTGCAAAAGTGTCGCTTCAGTCAAGATTCTTTAATTATTCGGATTATATTCTTTTAATCAGATCCAATATAATAAAAATTACTGCCTCTGCTCCTAAATACCACCCTATTCTTATTTATAAGTTACTTGCAGAGAAAAAGTTTATTGTTAAATATAAGTCGTTTGAGGAAATTAATGAGCCTTTTTTCAATTTTACCCCTGTTGACTTAATAAATGCTAAACGAGAAAAGGTAAATATGTGAAAGAAATTATAAAACATATTTTTAATATCTTTTCCTTAATAAGGGCAAATGTGTAAAAAAATTATAAACTTAATGCATTTCCTAGTCTGTGGGCTTAAGGCACAAGTGATTTACAAATAAAAATGAAATAGCATAAAAGCTAGATTGTAATACAATTTTTACTACAAACTGACTTTTATAGTTAAGAGCGAAAGTAATATAAAATTACAACTAAACTATTGATTTAGTGTTTGGAAAGTAATTTCTGTGTGATTCTTAAAAATTACCCTATTTCTAAATGGGTCCACATACCCTGCTCAGGTATCTCTCAGCAAGGCATGTCGTTTGGGAGACGAGGCCCCATTTTTTAATAACACACAGTATCATGAATTAATTAATTTTTACTATATTAAATATCTTGAAATATTTTCTATAATACTCAGTATTATAAATTAATTTTTAATGTATTCAGCATTTTAAAGTATTTTTTAGCAATACTCACTAATACTCTAGATATATTAAAAATTAATTAATTTGAGATACTAAGTATCACTAAAAAAATATTTTAGAGTGCTAAATATAAATTAACCCAAATGAATTTAAAAAATAAAATTAATGGAAAAATTAAATAATGAAAAAAGGAGGAAAAAGTGATACCTCATCCCCGAATGCTGATCGATGCAATGAGTAGGAAATGTGAATTCATTTTTAACTAGCCCAAGAAACTGAATTGATTGCTGGTGTCAATATGAAATCCGTTTGGATCAGTGATTAAAAAGTAACTTATTGACAATTTTTTATGAAAAAATGAAGTTGAGTAAAGACTAAGTTGGATAAGCTGAATTATGTTTGAATTGAAATTTAGAAAAATTAGTTTGCAAAAATGAGAAGAGTTGTTTGGATTATGGTTGAGTAAAAGTAAGTTTGGTTGTAAAATGACCAAAATGGGTATGAGTTTTAATAAATAATGAAACATGATTAAAAAAATAATTTCACATAATATAATGAAATTGAAATAATTTAATATCAAGGAGTCAAATTTAATAAGTGAATTAAATTTTAAAACTTTAGAGAAATCATAAAAAATTATTACAAATATAAAGTGAAGCATACATAATTCACATTCATAAATAAATTTGACAAATAAAAATTAAAAAAAATATGATAAAAACCAATTAAATTAAAATTAACTCAAATCTTAAATTGGAAATAAAAATACCACCGGTGTTTCAAACTAAAACTCAAGATTTTGGCCCAAAAAAAAAAGACTCGAGATTAGATAATGGAAGATATGAGGAAAATGACAAGAACAGAAGAAACGTGGGCATTAGCAGCCTTTACCTGACATGGTCCATAAGCTATTTCTTCCAAAAAAAAAACTCCCTCTCTTGAGCTTTTTTTTTTTTGGGCCAAAAACTCTTGAACTTATTTTTAATCGTGCGTTTCTACTCTTTGCAGCCCTCAGGCACAGTGGCATGCAAGCTCTGCCAAACAAGGACAAATTTGTAGATCGGGCTTATTCTTAAAATAAGCTACTCATAGCCCATCAAAAGCTCTACCAATCAGGCATACAAATGGTTGGAAAAAGGCCCAACAACCAATAGCGCGCACATTTTGGCTTATATTTTTTAGGGAGAATCCCAATTAAATCCAACCGAAATACCTAAATTTAGATTTAGGCCTACACTTTTAACAAATTCCTAATTAGACCATGAAATCTAATTAGGGATTTTTGAATATTGTTAAATCACCAAAATACCCCTCTTCAATTAAAAAGAAAACTTGATTATTATACCTCTCCCAAGTAATTCCTCATTTCTTATGATTTTTTTAGACCAAAAAACATATAAGTAATTTTACAATGTTTGAAATTTGTATATGCAACTTGTACTATTAAAAATATTTTAATAAAACATGTTAAATTACAAATCTAAGTAAAATTATAAATATTTTTTATTTTCAGTTCTTGTAATTTACGTTAGTTTTATTTATTTAAACAATGTTGGATTGAACTGAAAACGTAAATGATTATGATTTAATATTAAAATTTTATTATAATTAAAATATTTTAAAATTTTAAAATAAATATTTACAACCTGAAAAGAAAAAATATTAAAAATATTTATTTAAAGATTACATATATTATAATTTAAAATGTTTTATGAAAATATTTTGAAGATTTTAGTTATATTACAAAATTTCAAACACTAAAAAATTATTATATTTTTTGTCTAAATATTAATAATAAGAGATGATGAACCACTTTAGAGGGATAAAATAATCAATTTTCATTTTTAACTAAAGAGGGGCATTATAGTTATTTAACAATATTCAGCAATTTCTAATTAGGTCTTATGTCCTAATAAAGAATTTGTTAAAAGTGTAGGCCTCAATTTAATTTTAAGTATTTCAGCAGGATTTAATTAGGATTTTCCCTATTTTTTATCTTAAAGAATTAAAAAAAATATAATTTTAAACCCTAATAAAAGATGCTGATTTAAGATTGAAAATTGTTGAATACAATATTTAAATTATATATAATTCCTGCAGCAGCAACACAGTTACAGTGAATCCCTTGAAGTGAAAAATTTTGTAAAATTTCCTGAAATAACTTCTTGTTGTGTGAAACTTATTTCTATATACATTATTTGGAGCAATACAATCTTTCCAAAAATACTTAAATGGACGATAATTTTTTTAAAAAAGAAAAGGGTAATATCATTTTTGTTCTTTTTGCTTTTATTTTGATTTTGGTCTTTTAAGTTTTTTTTCATTTAAAATATTAGTTCTTGTAATTTAACAAAAACTCGAATCATTTTACCCCTAAGACACCAAAATCTATATTTTGAAATTCAAAGGATTAACGTCAAAATAAGAACAAATTTGAGCAATGAAAAGATTATATCAGCCCCAAAAAAAACGCAAGGCAATAAAAAATACTTAATGCAAAGAATTAGGTGCTTACCTGGAAGTTGAGACCGAAGAATTTGCTGATGCTGCTACACAGCCAAAATTGGATTGATCCACCCTTTAGATATTAATTTGAGTTGAGTAGTCGCACACGGTTTTTATGAAAGCCACAGTATCGTTTGTTTATTTGCAATTATTGAAAGTACTGATCCAACAAACGGAAGACTACACATAGTTTAATAACCAAGAGGGTGTTTGGAGGAAACTGAACCATAATTTTAGCTATAATTTTATGGTATACAAAATAAGTATATTTTAAAAGTAATTTTATAACATATAAAATAAATATGTGACATAAGTTTTGTCTTCATTTATGTGAGCATTTTTTTTTTTAAAAAAAACACCTAATTGGCCATCCGTGAGATTGCAATTTTATCGGTTCATCCATTTCTCCAAACCTCAGCTAATGTGTTTCGGCTGAAGCCTACGGTCAAGGCAGAAGGGCCTACTCCCTTCGCTGTGCGAAAACATGATATCTAAACTGAGAATCGAACTTACTACTGCCTCTTTCCTCTTGTATCAGCCGCGATTGATTATTAAAACTAAGAAAGTCTTAAATTATTTTAAAGTATTTATATTTATTATTTTTTTAAAACTAATTTGTCTTATTTATATATTCCTCTGGTCCTGTTTATATGTCAAAGAGAAAATAAAATTTTGGTCTCATTTATAGGGCAGAGAAAAAAAATTTTTATATGAATACACAATTTTACTCTTTATTTATTATTGTGTTAACTTTGTTGCTGTCATGTGGTGTATTGTACATTAAATAGGAATAAAATTAAAAAGTTTTTAGAATTTACATGAGGGTTAATAAAATTTAAGATTTTTATCAGTTCATATAAAATATATTAGAAGTGACTTATAAATAGAATCTAAGAGTATAATCTAACTATTTTAGAGAGATGCTATAATTTTTAATAATCAAAGTGCCCATGTCTCTGGTGAGATCAAAATCGGATATTTATCAAATAATCCCCTTTCTCTTAATTATTCCAACATACGCTAGCATGCCATCCTCAATTTCCCCTTTTTTGAAGGAAGAAGGACGAAACGCCATTATGAATAATTACGTTGTTAATTACAACCGGTAGAAAAAGAAGAAAATAAATTAAGATCTAACTTTCGAAAAGAAGTAAAAGAAAGGGAGAATCTCAAATAAATCCGCTTGAAATAGCAAAATCTAAATTAAGATCTGCACTTTTAATAAATTCCTAATTACTCTAAGAGGCCTTATTAGGAATTTTTAAATATTATTAAAAGACTAAAATACCCTTTAAGTTAGCGAATTGGTGACTACTCCAATCAATTTATGACCTAGCTTTTTTTTCTTGAGATGCATTGCCGCCAAATATTGATCCATCAGTTCCAAGTTTCCTTGCTTGGGTGTTGAATCATCTGCGGGTTCTCAATTTTCCGGTGGACTTCCAATAAATCAAGAGGTATGTACTGATAATTTTTCATTATTTGAAATGCCAAATTTTCCATATATTCA